TTTGTACATAATAATAATAATTTCTACTCAGTATATTTTGTAAGCCTCTGAAATAAAACCAGAGGAATTTCCTTTCTGTATAGTATCATGTTAATGATTAGGGTAGTATTTTTACAAAATAAGCTTTTGATACTCACTTCAAATTCTTTCACAAAATAACGAGTTTCACCTTGAATAACTGGTCTGTGATCCAAAAGCCTTGAATGAATTTCTCCAAGATCTAAAAAAGATAAAATGAAATTTTGGGTTAATCCATGGTAAATGACGTAATCTCTAGCTTGTTTTACTCTTCCCCTTCCCCACAAATAAATGAGAAAGTAGGTTAAAAATCCATTTCTGACCATGTATTAGGAGAAAATCTCATCCACTGCCAGTTGGTACAAAATTGGTACAACTACTTTTAAAAGCAACTTGGCAATAGCTAATAAAATTGAAGATATATGCATCTAACAATTTCATGCCAAGATATACATGCAAGAAAAAAATCTTGCGAAAATAAATAATCCATCTGTAATTGTTTACTATGCATAGGTATACCATCAAAAGAAAAATTAAAGAGAGCATCCTAAAAACATTCACACAGTGGGATACTACAAATCAAGTAAAAAATGAATAAGTTACACATAACAACATGGATAAATCTCACTGACATAATGTTGAACAAAAAGCAAGTTTCAGAAGGATTAAATGCATTTACCCAAACTTTAAAAATATGTACAATAATACTTCAGACACACAGAAGCAATAAAAATAAAAGACATGCAGAAGAATGATAAACACCAAATTCAGGATAGTGGTAACCTTTTCAGAGGGGGAAGTCAATGAATGTAATTAGAGGGGGGTGCACAGTGGGTCTTTTAATGATTTATTAAGGTGGATGGTGAGTGTTCATTCTAAGTATCTTTACTTTTTGGAAGGTTTGAAAAAGTCATAGTTAAGTAAGAAAGTGTTGAATTTTCAAAGATTTTGGTGAGCCTACTCATTCTTCTTAGTAACAAATAGTTTAAGATGTAAACCACAAAATTCCTGGAGAAACTGAATATCCAAATAAAAATATGTATCATCATATTCATTTATCAGGTTAATTAGTATAGCTCTCACCTCAAACATTCAAAATCTTCTAAATTGGCTTTTCTGAAATATTAAATAGTTGACAATTATAGTTATCCTACTGTGCTACACGACACTAGAAGTTAGTCTTAATGTCCAATTGTATCCCTGTACTTGTTACTTGCTAATC